CCCTCTCTTTCTTTCGAGATGGGATCTCACTATGTTGCTGGGGCTAGATTCAAACCCCTGAGCTCAATTAATCCCCCTACTTCAGCTGAGACTACAGATGTACACCACCATGTCTGGCTCTAAAAGGTGTTTTTCAAAAAAATTATAAAAACAAAACAAGAAGCTGGGCTCGGTGGCTCAGCCTGTAATCCCGCGCTTTGGGAGGCTGAGGTGAGTGGATTGCCTGAGCCCGCAGGTTCAAGACCCGCCTGGGCAACTTGGCGAGACCTTGTCTCTACCATAAATCAAAAATTAGCCAGGCATGGTAATGTGCATCTGTAGTTCTGGCTACTTGGAAGGCTGAGGCGGAAGAATCTCCGGAGCCCAGCAGGTCGAGGCTGCAGTGGCAGGGAGTGGCCACTGCCCTCCAGTTTGGGTGACAGAGTGAGACTCCAACTCAAAACAAAACAAAAAAAAACAAGAGTTTAAGCTCACCTCATAGTTATTTTTCTGACTTATAGTTTTCTGTCCCTATCTTAAAGGATCTGGGAATTTTTCTGAGGTCTCCAGGCTCACAAGACTGAGTGTTGGAAGGGCCTTGGAGACCAATCTGTCCAACTTCCAAGCTCACCCAATATTCCCTCTGGACATCTGGGACAGGGTCACGCAGCCTTTTCTCGATCGCATCTGGTGGTGGATATTCACTTTCTGACAATTGTGGAAAGGCCCTGGCCTGGGTGGAGAGAAGTCATGAACAAGAAGCCCAGAACTCTCTTGCAAGCTCTGAGCTAGAGAGAACTTTCTGGGTCTGTTTCCTACCTGCACGATAAGGAAATAGACCCCAGCCCCGGGCCTAGATGGCTCTGGAAGTCTCTATTCTTTAGAGTGGACAGAGTCTACTTTGCTTTTAGGTCTCTTCTTGAAAGGCCCTTATCAGTTATGACCCCTCTGGGGTTAAAGAGTGTATAGAGTCCTGGAAGTTCAGGAAGGAAAGGCAAATAATAGAGAAGGAGGCCCTCCAAGCCTGTGGATTCCTGCAGAATAAAAATCTAGCTCTCTCTCCTACCGTCCCCTCTTCCCCACCCACATCACCAATACCTTAAATCAAGCTCTCATTACCTCCAGCTTAGCATGACATTTGTTTTTGTTGTTGTTGTTGTTATTTGAGTTGGAGTCTCACTCTGTCGCCCAGACTGAGGTGCAGTGGCACACTCCCAGCCACAGCAGCCTTATAGCATTTATTTGGTTTTATGATTATTACAGTATAGTCTTTCACTCATTCACCTTGCCAGAAACACAGTAGGCATGAATAAATTGATTAAAAGAGTGAATGACGCCAGGCACAGTGGCGCACACCTGTAATCCCAGCACTTTGGGAAACCAAGGTAGGACGATTGCTTGAGTCCAGGAATTTGAGAACAGCCTGGGCAATACAGTGAAACCTCATCTCTACAAAAATAAAAAAATAAGCCAGACATCAGGAGTTCCAGACCAGCCTGGGCAACATAGCAAGACCTCGTCTCTAGAAAAATACAAATAAAATGTATACCATTGTTGACCTATTAAAAAAAAAAGCCAGGCATGGTGGCACATGTCTTCAGTTCCAGCTACTTGGGAGGCTGAGGTAGAAGGAACACCTAAGCCCAGGAGTTTGAGGCTATGGTGAACCAAGATCATGCCACTGTACTCTAGCCTGGGCGACGGAGTGAGACTTCCAACTAAAAAAAAAAAAAGGAAATGAGCAAATGAATGAATGGATGGATGAAGATTTACCTTGGAGTGCTCTATGGTGCTATGGGATCCCTCTCTCAATGAAGGTGAAAGATTCTGGGTCGATCACACTGTTATATATACTGCAACTCTCTTCCCCTTCCTCCACCCCTGGTGTTCCATTCCATCATTGAATGAGTACATACTGAGCACCTGCCCTATATGAAACTGTCATCAAAAGACACTGTGTGAGTGGATTGCCCAAGCCTGTGGGTTCGAGACCCACCTGGGCAACTTGGTGAGACCTCATCTCTACAATAAATCAAAAATTAGCCGGGCGTGGTAGCATGCATCTGTAGTTCCAGCTACTTGGAAGGCTGAGGCAGA